AGAGCATATTGATTTGTACAATTCAATAACTTTTTAGAGCATAATTTAGAATTAATGATCATATGTGTATTATACAATTTGAACATTTGGCAGTGTACCTATATATAAAAAAAAATACCAAATAATATATATTTATGTTAAYAGTTTTCGCTAGAGATTGACTTGACCTAATCTAGTTGGCATACACAATTTACCATTTTTATTAATAAAGGAATAATAAAAAGATAAGTGTATATTTTTACTATTGTTAAACGCAAAAGGGCGTGCATATTGTTTAAGTACTTTTGTAAGCAAAAACTTCAAATTTCAAATTTCAATGAAAAATGCTTTTTTTTAATGTTATAAACATATATCAGTCTATAAGAATGTCCAAAAATCCATATCAATTTCATAATCCGTTTCTGATTTTACATAGCTTGCATAAAAAGTAAAACTTTTCTTTTATATTTTGTAGCTAGCGTTTTTAAATAATGTTTACGTCCGTGTTATATGGGTCAACTCGAAGTATAAACATCTCTCCACTATTTTGCCTCACAAGGCCGATGTAACAGGCGAATTGTACCCCCGGATATTCATACCCCCTGGAAGTGCGATTTTCCTGGGTTATTAATACCTCCCCAGATATGACGTCATTTTGAGAGATATGTATTTCCCAGGATTTTCATACCCCCATGGAGGTATTACTTTCCTATAGGATATTTGTACGAGGGGTACTGTTAGCGTAGGAAAATTATACCTCTGGAGGGTATAATATTATTATTAGAAGGTATCGTTTTCCTGTCACACCGGAACTAGTGGACAGTGATTGTCCGTCCAAACATTGCACAGTGTTCGTAATAGGTACGTCAATAATTGCTATAATATATTTTAAACAGCTCGATATCGTAAATCGGATTATAATAATAATATATAYCTACCTAGCAGCCATTCGGGTTTGTTGTGTTGGCGTTCACGTGACAATGATGTGAGGTGAATTTAATGCATCAAGGTCAAACCTCTGTCGAAATACGTTAATATGAAATCAGCGCAAAGTGTTTAAAAAATAAGTACTGATTAATGATGAAAACAAGGTAATATTGCTTCGACAAGCCTGTTATTCGTATTCGATTAAAAAACACACGAAAATATAGCCCAAGCATAAATCCTATAATACAGCGTTTCTTGTCCTTTTTTCATTTACTTACCTCTTGACCACTCACCACTATACTTTAAGAACCCTCAAATGTCAAATAACCATATATTTTTACATGAGGTACATACGAATTCACGAAAGTAAAGTAAGTTGACTGTTGAGTTCAAGTAAAATGTATGAAAAGTTTAATACAGAAGAATTCGGAAATATTTATTTATTTTGATCAGCATGTGCATTGTGCAGTACATATTATTGTAAATAATAATAAAAAAAAAATATTAAGTTCAAAATTTCATTTTAATGCGATCGTTGGGCTTGTTTACCGGCACTTAATATTTTGAAACCTCGCCGCTCAGATGATAAATTAACTGGTAAGTCTAAACTCACAGAAAGTCTATCATGCAGTAAGTAGTAACTAATTTTTAATGAACGTGTATGACGAAAATACTCTCCCTGAACTAATAAGCAGAGTTCACAAATGGTAGTAAAACATTGAGTGTTTTATTTAGGAAAACTGAAGATAATCGTGTTTCACATTACCCAGCCCAAAAGGTGATAAGGTATTTTTTCAAGAAATTCCGTCTGAATTGAAGAATCCGTTTTCAGTTCAATCGGTTTTTCTTTTTCGTGTGCWGGTTAAATCATTCACAGTGATTTTATCTGAATTTAATATAAAAACGGTACGCTGCAATTTTGAAGAACAACGGCCTACTCCAGTTGCCGATGTGGATAACATGTTGTTTTTGGACTTGTACGGCATGAGCTGGTCAATGGTCATCGTAGATAGGCCATGGATGTTTTATTACGGTAATAAAATAAAAACTAGTAAAATTGACTGCAGTAGGTACTTTTTTCCTTTACATTTCACGGTCAGGTACTTAAAATAAATATTTAACGAAAAAATTATTTCACGTAGGTCAATATTTTTTCTTTAAGAACATTTTTATTTTATTTTAAACATCTAAACTACTGCCGTAAATTATCATATTCAAATGTACTTCGATTTAGTTCTGATAAAAATAAAGTATACTTACGTAAATATTACGAGAACGAAAAATAAAAATAAAAATAAAAATAATTTAAATTGTATTATAAATGAGTTTCAAATTTGCAATAAAATTGATTAAATTGTACATAAAAAACTGTACATTTTATTTTATACTTATACGAAACACATTTACATAACTTACTTGGCAATTAATTGAAACAATAGAAGAAAAGTGGCAAATTAAATATAATCAGTGGCCTATATTTATAAATAATAGGTACCTACCTAATGGGTTATTTTACCATATTTTTTACGARTTATTGGAACCATAAAACATAGTATTTCTATAATACGAAAAATAGTTGTACTGTATTTTTACTGAAAATAATAAATTTCAWTAAATTTATCGTCATAATAAAGATTGTTATAAATTCTGTGATAAAAAAATATAATATAGGCACCATCTGGGATTACTAGAAATGGTGATAACTMCAGATGGCACTGAAATCAAGGGTATACAATAGTCGAATATATTTAAATGAAAGTAGTGCTTGCAAAAAATTTTGGCAATATTTTTAACAAGTCAAATTAAGAGGCCTTGGTGGTGAATATAATTTAAGATAAAGTATTTGGCTTTGATTATTTGCAGTTTTATTTAAATGATTGTAGATACCTATATACAGGGTGCGTTAATTAAACAAAAACATAATTAGTTAATTGGTTTCATTTAGATACTACAGCGATTTGTGTTCGAAGATGATACGATTTTAAATKAACTTATCTAATTTTTACCTAATTTTATCGTATTTCGAAATATGATTTATAGTTAGAAAAGTCTGCAAGTCAATACCATATGGTTAGGTAATGGCACTTATTATAGTTTCGAATTTTTAATTAGTTAACAATAGTCCCTAACTGGTTGTTCTAATGTATTTTTTTTTTTAACAAGATCTCGTTGTATCGTTACTTAATTTAAGTTGTATAGGTCATTGTTGTGTAACATTTAATTCTATAACTGGACTAGTATTTGGCTGAAATGTAGGTGTTCGTTGTTTTACAGTAATTATACAAGTATTTAACTAGACACATTTCTAAAGAAATCAAATCATATTAATTCTATAACCTTTTACAGTTTATTTGCTTTGGTGTATATATACAGTTATCGAGATTCATAATTCACGATAWAAGTCATAGTTCATAGCAGTTGTACAAAATATAAAACAGATGTTCGATTTAAAAATTAAAAACTACATTAACATAATTACTCTATATATTTATTAACGATATTTGTATGCCAAACGATCAATCGCGCGTCGTAGTGATTATAGTAATTTTATAATAATAAGTTACCAAAATTAATAAATCACTCAATGAACTTCGTCGTGTCATTCATACAACAGTAATCATAATATTATAATAATTAATCAGCGTCGAATTTTATAATAAATAGTTACACCAGACTTAACAGCTGAGCATTCAGCTTGGATCGATGTACAGATTATAATAGTTAATATAATATTTTGTTTAAATAAATAACTAGAGATATTTATTATGTTTAATATATACATCTTATTAAAGTGTGTGACCTATATGCTGAATACGAATCTAAAAAATATTGTTATATGATTAATAAAATTATACAACTATTAACTGTGAATAAACTTATAGGTAACACAGTTATTTCCTGAAACTTATGGTAGTGAAATTGTACGTCAATATAGCATATTATTGTACCTACCTAATAGCAGCTGATAAATCAAAAATTTAGTTGAATAATAAATTAAGCTCCGAGACTTAAATATGCATACCATATTATTAAGGAGACTAGGAGACRTTTACGAATTGGAATCAACTTGTAGTTACATGTAGACGACCTGGGAGCCAATTCGTAGTCTTCCATCTCGTCATATAGTATTAGGCACAGTATTATATTTTTTATTGTCAATTATTATACTTGACCCAAAATTAAATACTTAAACAAAGAAAAAAGTTGTGAATTCTGAAGTTTCACCAAATCATAGTCGTTAATTTTTTTTTAAATGCTTGAATTTTTTTCCCGCTGCTTGAGGAGTTTATTGTAGCGATTCGAACTTCTGTTTTTCAAATGATAACCAACCATATTTTTATTGGAAATTATRTGTTGATGTATCTAAA